CCCCCCCAAAGCTCACGATTGTTAATAAACTAGGATGTTTGTTTCCCATCACTGATGTGCAAGCACTTGACATATGAGAGTAAGAAGGAAGCTGAGAAGTCTTCCCCTCAGTCCTTCTAGACTGTTCGGTGACTGACGTCAGGAAATAGTAACTGAACTGCAGTTTGGCTGCAGTGCTGGGGTGGGGTTGGATGTGTGTGGGTACAGACATGGCTCCCCTAAATGTGTCCGCATCTCCCAGGGCAAGGCTGAAACCTAATTTGTGTCACATGGTGTCAAAATGTCCCTCTGTGTTTTTCTATGAATGCTTTTGAGGCTGTTTTTAAGCAATTCAGTGTGTATGTTTACTATGCAAATTGATTGAAATGATGGAATTAGAAGTCTTTTATATTTACTTGAAATTAATAGCACAGTTTTTTAAAGAATTTAAAAATGCATTCTTTCTTTGTATTTTTCAAAAATCCTAAATAAACCCAAGTATTTTGGAGAAACAAGCACTGACATGAAATTAATTTCAAGGAAGAGGGTTTCTTATGTCTATGTGATTTTCGTCCTCTTTCTTGGAGCCGTCTTCGAGCCTTTCGTGCAGCTTGGGAAACTCACCTGATACTTAGCCAGCAGTTTGCTCTTCCAGAGGGAATGGGCGATATCGTGAATTGACAGGCGCAGGTTGTGGGTGCTGCCTTTAAAATGAAGAGCCTTGGGTTCTTCTAGGAGCTGCCCTCCCATCTGTCTCTCAAGATGTACCACTTCCTGCAGTGACAAGCCCAAAAGCAAGAGCACATTATTGGATTGCATCACATGAGTGTTTCTTCACCGTGCTTTCTGAACGGCAGACCTAACTTGGGTAACGCCATGAACATCCACTTTTGCAGCCTTGAGATCCTCCAGTTGAAGCCCTGCCCATTTGGTACGGGACTGGGCCCTTCTGATCAACGGTTCTGGCAATCTACATCACGGTGTTGTGCAGCAAATTCAGTACTGTCTGCCCTTACCAAACGAGCAGTGGAGTATTTTAGCAAATACAGGTGATTAATAAGCAGAATTCAAAACTGGAAGAACCCCAAATAAAAGAAAACATAAGTAGAAATATAGATAAACGGATAAAAAAAAGTAGATTGTCAATCAATTCTTAGGGAAAGCGGCAAATAACTGTAAGACCATGTCTTGGACTTAATAAAACCAACAACCAAAATTCCAGAACTGTTTTAGACATTTAGTTCAATCTCTTATGGTTTCTTCAGGTACAGAAATAAAAACATCAAATTTTGGCTCAAAATAACCCATTGCATTTTCCCAATTATTAAAAAGTCTTAGAATATGCTCATCCTATGTCGCATTAGAGGAAAATAGTCTGATACGGATTAGGAAGGTTTTTGAACACCAAATATTGAAGTCCATAGTCACTCAAATTCAATTTTAAAAAGAACACCTTATTTCTCGAGAATTCTAGCTGATGCAAAAATTTGCTGTGTAATTTACTTACACTATAAAGATATAACACAAAGACAAATTCTGTATATACTTCCATTTCTCAAGCGCGTTAATGGGAGTTAATGAAGCATTTCCTGCTACAGTCGTAATTATCCAAACAGCAGCAACCATCAGTTATCAACAAACAGATGATCCCGGGTCTCTTCTGCTGTCTAGAATCATCCCCACGCACTTTACTCCTCTCATGCCTTAAAAGTTGTAATGGTACAAATATGCAGGCAATTTCTGACCTTCTAAAAACAGGGGGCCAGGAATATAATTAAGAAATACAAAAATAAAATGATTTTTCTTATTTGGTGATATTTTGATAGACCGCAGGGAGTTCAAGAACACAGGTGTCCATTCCGAACGCCACACACGTGTCTCAGGCACCTAGCAGCGTAGCCCAGCACAGGTGGGTCACCGTGGAGGATTTCAAGTATGGGAACTCGATCGCCTCATATCCAGAAATGCAACACTTTGCATTTGTTGAATGACTTCTAACCCACGCACTCGTGACCCAGTAAGTGTGGGGCTTACCGACATCATTGATTAGACGTAAACAGCTCATTTGCAAGCTGCTGCTTTAGTGGTTCTTAGCATCCATCATCTTTGGGTCAAGCCACTGTTCTGAACAATGCAAGCTGCTGAAAGGTCCTATAAGGTGTAAAAAATATTAGGATAATGTGGTCTCAGACAGGGGCTTCTCTAATTAGTGTCTAATGGAAGAGAGGAAGCAATAACACACTGACTCGGAGAGGCGTGCGGTCCAGTTGCCTGAGAGTTATTGACTTAACGTTGTTGGATGACGAGTAGCTATTACTTGTGACAGGAGCCTGAGCAGTCAGCAAGCCCCGGGCCACAGCCAGCTGGCTCCGAGGGGCTCTAGTAGGCCACACAGAGCCATCCAGCCCGGTCACACATGCTCCCTGCAGAACACCCTCCACAGCCCTGCACACACCCCATTCCTCGACAGGAATCCAGCCACGTGGAAATGCAGAAGACGAAAAGTGAGGGTTAATTGCAGTTTCTTCTGCTTCAGCAGGAAGGCATAATGAGCTTCTGTTGATCATGTTTGTTGTCTAGTTAGCATAATAGAGAAAGCTGATGTTCCCAGTGAACCTGGCACCTGACAAATTCGAAAGCTAAAATGATGTTTGTTTATAAGCCATTAGAAGAAAAGAAACATAATTAGAAATCTTTGCGATTACAGTCATGCCAATCAATCAGTTCCAGCTTCTTTCCAGTACGCCCTAATTACCTCATCAAGACGTCTAAAGAGCAATCGATAGTAATTATCTGATTACTATAGATCTTCATTATGTCCAAATTATCTCCCTGGGATGTCTAAAAGAAGATGCATTGTATTCCGGGAGGTAATTGGACCCAACAATGTATAATCCACACCCCCATCCCTACAATCAACATAGACTGCCGGAGGACAGGGAGAACATTGTCAGTTTTCTTGGCAGGGAGGATCATTGAAAGATCCCAAACTGCCTACTGGCCATGACCTTGAAGTCAAGAAATCTAATGCCACATTTTGAGTGCGAAGTCTCGGCTGGAGTGAGCCCAAGAATAAGCCTCTGCGTTTGGTTCAATAAAGTCATGGTAAAGAATTCTCCCTAGTGGGGACAGAGTCTAGACTGGCTTGGAGAGCCTTTATTTGAGAGGAAGGACCAAGTAAAGTGTCACGTGAAGGACAGTGAGGCCACAGAACACACAACCTTTGCATATTCTTAAGCTCCCCATCGCTCCATCAACCAGGAGGGACACAAAGCTGCTGCCCAGAGCTGGGAAGAACCCAGCTTTTTTCTCTTTCAATTGTACGTGATCCTGGTGAAAAACAAAGTGCCCATCAGGAGGCGTCATGCTTAGGGTGGAGACCTCTGATCGTGTTTGCTTACGTATTCTGCCACTCAGAAATGGAGCATGCATTTTATGTTTCTTTACACATTATGAATATATCACTATGTTAATATTTTACATTATAAATATGCATGAAATTTAAAAATACAGAAAGTTCTGTGTTTACCTAACTTAGCAAAAAGCTAAGTACTAATAGCGTCCTTTTTTTGCCCCGTACCTGGGGAAGAACTCAGCCCAGCAGGGAAGGATTCAGTAAGAAGAAACTTTACCAAACTTAAATTTAACATGTCTTCCTTACAAGTGTCAACTGGTATCATTACACTCTTTAACATAACGAAACATAACAAAATAAAGAAGACAATAACCAAAGCCGTGAATCAAAGGTATCTCAATCCATCAATCGATCAATAAAACAACTCCTTAGACACTAAAATAATCTAAAACCACACTTGAGTCAGAGCTGACTTGTCACCTACAATGAATCTCAAATATAAGTTCTGAGTCAGAAGACAGAAGCAGCAAGCCCACCTGAAAGGCTGGCCAGGCTTTCGTTCCAAATTTTAAGTGTTAAAATCTGGGACATGCTGTAGCAGATACAACTTAAAAATAAAGAAGTGTGATTTTCTGAAATCCTTGTGCATGATATGGTTTTAGTGAATATATTTATCATACATGAAAATAACAGACACGCACATCGATAAGATACGGCTTTACAGTTAACTGTTTCCCTCTCCTTAATCTTCCTGGAAACATTCACTCAACATCTGGAAGACACGTTGTAAGCCCTGCCAGGAACCATGTCCGGCTCCGGGGCACACAGAGAAGGAAGTCCCTGTCACAGCCGCAAACTGCTAATGGTCCATGGGGCCGCGGAGAGACCCACGTGTCAAAACATGTCACCACAACACAGTGTGCTGAGCTCTAAAACACCTTCTAGATGGGCTGCTTTTGGATCGCGAAGGTGAGGATATCGTCCACACCTTAAAAAAGAGTAAGAAAATATATTTAAGGTCAAAAGACTCAGGAAGACTTAAGAAAAGTATCATGACCTTGAGAAGAAATGTCATAAGAACAATTAGGATCATCGAGGCTCTTTGTTCTCAGAAATGTAAATGTCACCTTCCTGGGCAGAGGCTGTCCTCTGTCCGGCAGCACCTCCCACCTCAGTGGCCTCTTCTAGCTCTGGGGGAGTCCACCTGTCGCTTTGACGAGCTGGCCCTGCTGATGGGGGCAAGGGTGGGTTTCTGGGTCTTTCCCCTCTAACTTTACCTTGAAAGATGCTCCCAAGAGAAGCTTGAACTGCAGTCATTCTGTCACCAGGTGCAGTCCCCTGCCTCGGAGCCCGGTGTGGGCCAGGGGTCTGCGCGGTCCTGTAGGAGGGCTCCTTCCCCAAGGTGGTGACTCTCTCAGGCTGGCCACCCCAGGGAGGGCCACAGTGATTCAAGGAGTCTGTGAGGGATTGCTCCAAAGGCGGGGACGAGGGCTTCCGCAGTAGAAACAAGCAGCGCTCCCAAAAACCAATTAAACCAAGACCTGGGCCATGCCAAGCCATTAGCCTGGGCCACTTAAGAGCCACCATAAATCCAAGCTGTGTTAAAGGCCCGTGCGCACAAAGGGAGCACCTCTGGCCTGTGCCCAAAACTCTCCCAGGCTCTTAGACGACAGGATCTGCCCTCATGAAGGCCTGTCAGAGAAAGGCAAGAGGGAGGACGCGTCTGGAAGCCACACCACTCCCACACGCTGGCGTGTCTCATCCCCCAGTTTCTCCCTGCGCGCTATGTCGGGGCTGGATTGCCTCTGCCTCCCTTGCTTCCTTCTTCGTTCTTTCCCTCTCCTTCCACGCTGGGGCGGATTTCCTGTCTTAGTCTCACAACTGCTGCCCCCTGGGGGCCGCCAGGCAAGAGTGGCATACGCTTATAGACGCGTCAAGTACATCTTTCTGAGTATGAAAAGTCTCTGTCCCCAGGGTCCAGGCTGAACTGGGCTACGCAACTCTGCAAAGCAGCACTTTGTGCCAAGAACTATGAGGTGCTGGGCTCCCCAGCAGGTCTGCTGGGCCCAAGCTCCCGGCCTGGCTTTGTTCCCTGCGCTGCCCCCTGCCCACCCACCTGTCCCCTGCTCACACCTGGTAGTCACCTGCTCTGCCTAAGGACCTGTCCCTCCCGCTCCCCACTGCTCCAAATTCCCCCACCTGCTTCTTCAAGGCGTTTGTTCGGGCTTCGGTTTCTCAAGGGCCGATCATCCTACCTGGGGATTATCTAATCTTTAGCTTCTCTCACCTCCCCTGTCTGTCTCTCGTTTTGTCTCCAACTACTTTCCTTTCATTCTTTTCCTTTCCTTTTTAGAAATCTCACAAGCCAGAGAAAGGGTGCACAAATGAGTAAACTAAGTCTCCTGTAACCCACTGAGAT